CTTTTCTTCAGCGTGGGTCGCATAAATGAAAAATACTCGCCTTTTGCAAAAATATCCAAAAAAAAAGACACACCAGGGCAAAAATCACTGTGGAAATTTGCTGCTGGAAAACTTTTTATTTGAATTTATTCAGTATTTCTATGCAAGCCACCGACACAGACAAGGGAATATGTACTACTAATGCTAATCGCAGGATCATTTATCAAGAATACTAAGGCCACCTTGATAGTCGATGAGGGTATCCTATATTAGTGATGCTTCTGTGATGGCCCCTAAACTATGCCTGTAACTCCAAATTTTAAAAAATCTGGATTTGAAAAAAAAGATTAAAGTCTTTAAAAAATATTGTAGAGGAAAAGCGAGAACGCGTATCAGAAGGTAATGGGCGTGCAAAATTACTTACTACACAAGATTGAACGCTTAAAACCGGAAAGCAAAAATTTCACGAAAAAGGTAGGTAATTTTAATTACAGTTTCGTTGCCCATATTAGCATCAGGCAATTCTGAAAATACTTAAAGTAAAACTGAATTTAAATGCCGGTGTCAGCTTTTTTTATAATAATGATGACAATAATAATAACAGCAATCAATGGTGATAACAATAATGGCAATAATGGTAGTAATAATAATAGTCGCCACAACAGTAATAATATTAGCAATAATAATAGTAATAATAATGGTAATGACAGTGACAGTAATAATAACAATAATAATAGTAATAATAATAACGATACCCCGTAATTCTCCACTTATGTAGTTAGCAAATTCTTCTATAGCTTTAGTTGGTCTTAGCACGTTAATTAGGTGCCGTATTCTCTAAAGCACCTAACTAACATAATAAGAAGGCCATTGAAATGGTGCACTCACTGTAGAATTGCATTCTGCTTGAAATATAGCGGAGTTTAAAAAAAGTGAAGTTGATGGAAACTCCTTTTTTTCCGGTAATTAACTGGTGCTAAAGCTGACTTGAGTCTAACAGTTTAAGCGTAGTTCCTAGGCAGTTCAAGAAAATGAGGCCTATAGAAAGCCCTGTCAACGAGTGGTTGCTATTGTAATCTGTTACTACTCTGATACTTTCCATTGTCTGTGTCTTTTTTGGGGAACCAGTAGGGGAATTTTGATTTTGAATTTCCAGGCAATCCCTAGCGGAGAGAGGAAAAGGGGCGGGGATGGTGCTATCTTGTAGTGAAGGCGAGTGATCAAGAAACTCCTAGCAAAACGCAGTCTACGTCTGCGTAATCGTGTATCAAAATCCCATTCACTTTACTGTATTGAGTTGATTACAATATTTTCACAGCTGTCATTAAAATGCTCGATTCGCGGCAAATGCAACCTGGTTTTTTTGCAGGTGAGCGGCCGGTATATTGCATTATTCACAAATCCACACACTGCGCCAAAAGGTACATTCATGAAAATGAAAACATTCGTGTTCGAAACATTCAAAATGTATGATGAACTCAATGAAACAGCAAAAAGTGATCTGCAAACGGCATTTCCTGAAATGGCACAATTGCTACTAAGTATGCTTTTCAGTCAATTTTTATCAAAGTGACCGTGATCACCCCCTGACAATCAGTACTGCGATCTTGTATCACTAATGTTACTGAGATGCTTCCATATGTTAGCCCAGGCGCTATGATCTTGAACAACCACTTCCCCTTAGTACACACTACCAGTTCGATGTACTTAGCGAATAGTTATGTCCGGAAGGAAATCTAACCACCCGTTCTAATATCTGGAGGCGAGATGCCAGACCACTGCACCACCAGTCAATGTGCTCCATCTGCTGAAGCACCTATATTCTATGCGTATGACATCCTTATAAATACTCTGGCTGCTTGTGACCCGTGCAGCACACCCTTTCAACAGTTGCCGGTTTTTCGCGGAACTTCTGCGGCAACGCATAGACAGCACTTTTTTTTCGAAGAGCGGCCCAGTGGTTACTGGCAGCAGCCCCGGTAGTCAATGAATCCCCTGTAGGCAGCGCTTATCTATCAGTTCTAGACAAATTAAGAAATTTGTCCTGCCCATCGGGTTTTATTTCGTCGCGTTTTCCTGCACATCGCTGCTATGACAGAAAGTTTGATTACTTTGTGACCTCGAGAAGAAAGTTCAAACATCCTGGGCTCCACTGCTCTCTTGATCACAGTCAGCGTTCGCTCTTCGGCTTTCGTCAGTAGCCAATGCGTAATGAGCCAGTTGGGAAGGTGAACACCGTTATTATATTTCCGAAAGATCTTAATTTTGATAATTGTTTATTTACTTACAAAAGTCATGGAAATACTTCTGGGAGTCACTGAGGGGAAAAAAGGTTGTCGCACTCCCATTTTTCGTTTGGATGCATCAATATCATGCTTCCAATAAAACTGCGTTAAGAGCCGTCAGTTAATTTTAGATCCACGATTTCGGAACTATATGAGGCGTGTCTTCGATAACGCCGACGTAAAAAGAGCATTTAATCGAGCCGACCGAATGATTAATCCAAAACAGTAGAAGTGACCAGAGGTCATTTTCTCAGGTGTCAATGTTCGCAGGCAATTCTTTTCATGCTAGTTAGCTTCGGTTACAGAATATATTTCGAACATTGAATATCATGTTTTTGTGCATAAATCTTTCAATGTTTTCAACCAAGTTGAATTAAAAGGTCTGAGAATTATTACTGAGCTCGTTATGTTGGATTTTTTGTAAAAATGTAATATTTTTTTAGCTTCGGAATAACCTGAAAAATTTCTCATATGCATTGTTTATCCTTTATTTCCAGCTTGTTTTTTCATCCGAATTTACCAGTTTCATCAAATTCTGCCTGCAGACTTTCAGATTTTGAGAAATTTTATTTTGACGCCCAAGGCAAATACTTTTGTCATGTTTCATTTCCGATTCAAATGGACGTACTTGAAAATAGATTCGCTAGCTCTATATTGCCAAAAAGCAACCAGGGGACAGCATGGTTGTCAGTGGTCCCCCTCTCTGTGAAGCTCACGGATGAATTTCACCAATAATCGGAAAGCAAAGTTTTTCACCATTTATCTCGGATTAAGCATTCGCTTTTATCTAGCTGTTATCAAATTAAATAATTTGTGTAGTTCTGATACAGTATTCCGAGAGTCAGCAGGAACTGAAAAGTGTGCACTACATGAGAGAGCAACAACAGACATTGCAAAACAATACGAATGCGACTGACACACATACAGAACATAGGTGCTCCAGCAATCGTTCTCAAAGCCGGTGGTGCAGTGGATAGTAAACTACATCAGGATGAGAAGACAAAGAAAGAGTTCAGTTCCCTCCGGGTCCAAGCTAATTTACAAAAGGGCTCCTTTTGCAAAAAACAAAGTC